AATTTATTACTCACAGTTCCCTAGAGGAGGGGAGATGCCACACCATGCAGGGCCACACGGGGAGGCACTGGGGTCAGTCAGGAGGCAGGAGGAGGGAGGGGACAGCCTGCACCAGAGCCTTTATTATGGGCCCATGGCAGGAGTGAGTGCCCAGGGGAGGCAGGCTTGAGATCATGTGGCCAGGCTCTGGGCTGCAGGGCTGTTCCTTAGTTGTCTGGTACCTGGCTCTGGAGTGACCTAGGAGAGGGAAAATGTTGGCTCGGAGAGTGACAGTTTGATAAAGGAAGTGATTGGCGTATAGGCTTTGGATTGGTGGGTTTGCATATAAAAGCTGTGCTCTCAGGCAAGTTGTTCACTAGCTCTAGGAATTACTAATAGCTAGGGAACTGCTATTAATGACTGCTCTGGGAAAGTCAGTCTCTCTGAAATCAGAAAGGCCATACAATATGCAAGTGTAATGAAATACAGGAAACATAAAACATGATAAATATTAATACAGTAACCTCATGGCCACCTAGGTTGGGAGTCAGAGTGGGCTGGATTTAATCTCAGCTCACCCCCTTATCAGGGAGGTGAGTGCTGGGTGCACCTTTCACAAATATACAGAGTAGCCTTGACTGGATCCTTTGGGCTGCAGTGGAGAAACAGAAAGAGATGTAATCCTTACAGCAGAGACGGAGAAAGAGCACCCGTACACCCACAGGCTAGGAGAACTGCAGGGCTGAATGGGTGGTCCCAAGGCTGGCACACTCCAAAACCCTCAGAAAGTGCTCATGAGGAAACAATATCAGTTTTACACATTCATTGGCCCCAGAGACCCAAGGTAGAACCTCACACACTGGTCCCTATAGCGATCAGACCTTGGCTAGCGAGCCTGGGGAGGAGGCGTAGGAAGGAGAAGAAGAGAAATAGAGAAGTCAGTCATATACCTCCCACTCCAGCTCTTTCCACTGCAGGCTTCCAACCTAAAGCAGGCTTGGAGGAAGGGGGACAGGAGATGGAAGATGTATCATTCGATCTATTCAATTGGGTTGATTTTGATTATTATTTTGTACTGGCCATTCCGATGTCTAAATTGAAATTGTAATTCTAGGATAGGACCCTGCTCAGTCTGAGTGGAAGAGAGCTGGGCCCCTAGAATGGGGCAAGGAAATAAAACCCCAGGGATTAAACTGTAGAGGAACAAGGAGACAAAGACCCACGTTGTATCAGATGACGTTCTGGACTGTGCTTATGCAACACAGAGTTACATTTGTAACACACTTAGCAGGGAGCTGGGCATGTGGAGAACCCTTGGTCAGTGTCAGCCATTATTAGAATAGGAGGCTAGAATAACAGCCTAAATATGATGAAATATAAAGAAGAAAATTTCATTTAATCCCCCAAATTGCTCTGTAAGGTAGGTCTTGCTCTTCGCCTTTCCAATCCAGCAGCATGGAGCAATGGCCACCTCTGGAGCCCTTTTGCTGTCAGCGGCAAAAGTGGCCCAGCCAGCATCCAACCTCCCCCTGCCCGTCCCGCTCCACTTGACTGGGGGCCGTGGGCATGTTGGGATGTCCTTTATAAGAACTTGACTTGGAGTAAGAGCAATGATTTCAACTCTACGTAAACATTTTTTGCTGATTCGTCATAGTCCAGGAAGATATTACTTATGAACTAAAGCAGTCTATAGCTTATGGGAAACATGACCAGAATTCTATTTAAAAAAATGGAAACCTTGCAGATTAAAGAACAAGATAACAGAGTTATTGCAAGGCCCATTCACCTGACCTGATTGGGAGTTAAAAATCACCTCAGCCGACAACACTGACTTTTCCCTCCTCCTGAGTGAAACAGTAGTGCACACTCTCGGCCCGCGTTCTCCTACATGGATGCTCTTGGGTTTTACCACACCCAGCAGGCTGCACTGATGCCACACAGGCTCATCTTTGAGGTTGTCATTTGGTGGCTCCTCATGGTCTTCTGTCAGGCAAGTAATACCAGTTTTTTAAAGCATGCCTTCCTTTTGAACAGCCCCCGAAAAAGACACTCAGAGGGCACTCTTTGCAAATGGCAAGGGCTGTTTGTGAAAGGGACCGGTGTGTAGGAAAGCCCTTTCTCATGCTTGTTTGTTCCTTCAATAGACGCCTATCTATCCACTACCATGTGCTGGCAGATCTCTGCCTCCAGGCCACGCACAACTATGTAAAATGCTGAGGCCTCAGCTCTGTGTTGGGATTGAGTGCCCAGGACCTCCATCAAGAGCCACTGAGGGTCTGAGGCTTCACTGGCCCTTCCCCTGAGTCTGGTGGACTTGTGGCTCCTCTCTGATCACTAGGCATGTCTTACCAAGCCTCCTGAATCTGAATTCAGACTCTGGGATCCCAGACGTGGTGGCCAGTTGTGCCTCTATGAGCAGGTTGTGGCCTCAATGAACCATTGAACCTCTCTGTGCTGCAGTTAATATTTCCGTAGAGGGAAGATAGTAACAGGCTGTCTGTCTGTGAGTTGCTGTGAGGATGAGAGGAGATGGACGATGCAATGTACCTGGTAATAAAAACCAGTCTTTCCTGTTGAACACCTACAGTTTGTGCAGCCCTGCTCTCTGCACTCCAGACATCCAGCCATGGACTTCATCCTCCCAACAGCAATCCTCCCTAGGAATATGTGTTGTCTTTATCCCCATTTTACAGATGAGAACACTGAGGCATGGGCATTTCAGTAACTTGCCCACAGCCGCAGTGAATGGGGATAGAGGCAGAATCCAAATCCAGACAGCCTGCAAGAGAGCCGTGCCCAAAACCACTCACTAGGTTGTCCTGACCCACGCTGCAAGCCCCTGCTCAGTAAGGGTTGCTGGTAGTGATTTCATCTTTACCTGTGCCATTGGGAGAGAAGACATGCGTGTTCATCGTCAGAAACTCTTCCATAAAGCACAGGCCCCATGGCTGGCATGAGTGAGCAGGGAGGCAGGCTTACTCACTGAGATGACGTGTGTGCAGGTCATCCTGGCTATTTTTATTGTTTGGGTGGGCCACATGTATAATATGAGTGGAAACCCTTCATTTAACACACACCTATCCACACACCCAATCACACTTTTCTTGGCAAAAGGTGAGGGGAATAATATCTCCTAACTACAATACCTCTCCCTGCAGCCAACTAATATTTCCAGGAAAACTCTGAACACTTTCTGGAAAAAGCCAGGTTCACAGATTCTGCTGCTAGCTAAGCTCAGTCCCTCTGGAGTAAACTCTCATCTGAGCTCCACTCTGGACACTCCCGAAGCACACCTTTTCCTCTGTTCACCCTAGGGACGTGTACCAAGTGGCCACTGCCATTTCCCTTCTGGAGTTCAGAAATGTTGGCATCCCAAGCTAGGGGCTGCCCACCCTGAGGTTTAAAGAATCTACCTTTTCTCCAGAGGTAGAAATAAGACCACACTCACCCATGTGACCTCCCTTAAGAAAGAGTCCCATGTCCTTGTATTTAAGACACCAGAGATCAAAGGCTATACCATGAACTTGATAACAGCCTTTCAGGAATAAGTCATGCAAAGTTAAACGTATCCACTGACTGTAAGATTTTTAAAACACTTAATTGTAGACTCAAGGAAATAGAGAGTGTCCATCTCAGTTAGTACATAGACCCCTCAAAGGCTCCCGTTGTCCTAAAGCCATGGAAAGGCAGCGAAGCCACCCATGACCTGACCTCTGCCCAAGGCTCCAGCCTCAGCTCCCACATCTGCGGCGTCCCCTGACCTTGCATTCCCACTACAGTTGTTCCCAAGTGAGCCTGGGCAGATCATGCCTCTGTGTGGTTGTACATGCTGTTCTGGGGGTGCCCTTCCATCCAGTGGCAGCTCCAAAAACCACCCCTGGGAAGTGCCCCCTCTGTGCTGATGCTGTGGGAGAAGATTGGGCTCGATTTCCACCTGCGTGGCTCCAGGTTGGGAGGCCTCAGCACAGGAATCCCTCGCCACGCCTTTAACGTGCAGCAGCAGTGCTGGCTCTGTGTAGGGCTGGTGGCTGTGCCGTGGAAGGAGACAGCCATGGGAAGGGCTCACACCCACACCTGGCATGTGGTAGGAGCTTCATGGGGTTGGTTCCCTTGTGTTTTCTCAGATTCTGTTTTTGCCCTTACTGAGACAGCAGCCAAACCCCGAGAGAAAACAGTATCAACAGCAATACCACAGACAGGCCTAGTGGGAATTCCACTTCTATGTATGTTGGGTTGTTTTTCCTTCCTGGTCTTTCTTTTTAATCAAGCTATGACACACATGCCATAAAATTCATCCTTTTGAAGTATATACAGCTCAGCGGGTTTCAGTATCTTTGCAGAGTCTGGTCACCATCAGCTTTCTCTAATTCTGGTTATTTGCATCACCCTAGAATGAAAGCCCACATCGGGGAGCAGTCACTCCCCCTCCCCGCTCCCCCATCCCCGGCCCTTCCAGCCCTCCGGCAGCCCTAGCCTACCTCTCCCAGCCTTCCAGTGAGAGCTTCCCTGAAACTGGAAAGCTGACATTGGCCTTGCCAGTTCCTCAAAAGGCGATGGAAGGGCTATGCTGGCTGGCGGAAACAGAGGAGTTTCGTGAATAAAAACTGTTATTAAGTACAGAAAAGGGAATCAGATCTAAGGCACCCCTTAGGTGGAGAGGAAGACTGGACCAGTGCTGGCCATGTGCTCCCTCTGGGCCTTGGGGCCCTACTACTCTGGGGAGGTGGAGTCAGGCAGCCCCTATGGCCTTGGCCAACATGAGCCACCTGCTTTTCAGAGCCACTACCCAGGTCACCGTCTCACAGGGGACTCTGAGGAGTCTCTGGACTCACACATGGAAAATGCTGTATACATGGGACTGGTGCCCAGCCTGGCTCAGTTCCTTCCCTCAGCCTTTGCTTGTGGGCATCATGCTGGGCAGGAAGACCTTCTGCAGGGTCGAAAACACCTGGCCCAGTTGCCCAGTCCCCTCCACAACGACCAAAGGCCACTGCACTCAGCAGCATTTCCTTCTCCCTCAGGAGAGTACCTGGCCGTACCTGTTTGGAGTGATTGCAGTCCCTGCCGTTATCCAGCTGCTGAGCCTGCCCTTTCTCCCCGACAGCCCATGCTACCTGCTGTTGGAGAAGCACAACGAGGCGAGAGCTGTGAAAGGTAAGGGCCCTTTCCTTTCCACCGCAGCTCCAGCCCCTGCACAGGTCAGCCCTGCAAGGCGTGCTGGGACCTGGGCCAATGGGCACAGGAAGGGGTGTTGTCATTGTTCCTCTTTGCAGGCACTGGGCTGGGTGTCATAGGGTACCTTCTCACTTCATCTTCCCAACAACCTTGCTGGGGGGACAGAGAGGGGACACTGAGCCACCCAGGGAGTCTGGAAAAGCCAGAACAGACAAGATTAGATGCAGGTCCCCTCACTTCTGCCATTGTGTCCCCACTGCCGCCTCTCTGGTTGTTTCCAACCACAGAAATGAACCCATCTCAAATTTCTGAGTGACTTAGGTGCATGGTGGCTCTCCTTCCACTCCTTCTCCCTTCACTGACTTCCTTTGTCTTAAAATTTACATGCCAGGAAAGGAAAAGATGCCAGCACAGATTGAACACCAGATCCCACCAGGCACTGGCCTAAGTGCTTCTGCACAATGACCCATGGGACCTTGCCAGCAGCCCTTCAAGGGAGGAAGGAGTATACGTTCATTTTACAGGAGAGAAAAATAAGGCTTGCAAAGGGGCTTGGAAGTCATCTCAGGCTTTCTTTAAATGCCCTAAATGGGGGGCTGTTGAGTCACATTCAAAACCTGGGTTTCAGAATCAGAGACATCTCTCTACAGAGCCCCGAACAGGTAAAATTATGTTGCCTATAGGTAGACAATGCAGAATGAACAATCACGTTCTCATTCTTTTAGTTTTATAGATCCAGAGGCAGTTGGCAGCACCATGGTGAGTTAGGCATGTGAAGGTAACCAGCATTACCTTCACATCCAGCTCTGCTGTCTGACCTTGAGCAATTATTTTTTTAACCTTCCTGAGTCTCAGAACCCTTGTCTGTAAAAAGGAAATGACACAAACTTCCCTCGTGGGGCCACTGTGAGGATTGAATTAGATGGCACATATATAAGGTCCGTAGTATTATCTGCTATCATTATTATTGAGAACTATGTGCATTTTTAGTTCTAATCTAAATTTCACCTACGTCCAAATCCAGAAAAAAACTTGAGAATTATATATACAATTTGTGCACACTGTCTTTTGAAATTCACCCTACTTAAGTATTTTCTGAATTAACAAATAGCATAATGAAATAGTAACAATTGCCTGTATTTGTCTAGCAGTGTATGGAGCAGATTCGTTTTCTCATTTATAACACTTCTCTGAAGTGAAGTCAGAGAAAGCAATTGTTACTACCTTCATTTTGCAGATGAAGATACTGAGGCTTACAGGGATAAAGTCAGTTTCCCAAAGCACTGGGTTTTGGCTGACGGAGATTTACAGAGGCTTTTGAAAACGTGATGGAAATGATAGTGTTTTCTTCAATACAGTGACTGTATACACAAAATTCTGCCTGGGGCTTGGTGTTGGCCCTGGGACTTGAGCCCTCTTTTCTCCAGAGGACCCTGCTTAATAACTCCCACCCCTTGTCTTAAGTCCATTAGTAACCAAAGGATTGGAACCCAAGGAAGATTTTCCTCTGTGTACCCCTTGTTTACAGAGAGACCCCAGGAAAGGGAAGTAGTGAGTATTGTATCAGGTGACTTCCCATGGGGCCAGTGAGGAGAAAAACCAACTAAAAGTGGGGTTCAGATGATTGTCAGGGGGCAGAGGCTCTGGAGTGAAAAGAAGGGGACTAAGAGAGAGAACCAAGGGGATTTGATTCCAGAAAGCACCAGGGCTGTGCATTACTGGAAGAGAGCGATCCCTCCAGCTCTGTCTCCACTGGCCTGGGAGGTACCCCACACCCCATCTGGCTCTACTCGGGAAAAACTCTTGAGAAATGCTTCAATTAAGTACAGCTGGAATGAATAGTGCATGTCAATGCCAGACAGTGAAGATGGTTTTAAAGTTTTATTTCATAGCACAGTAGGGAGTGCAGGAGAAGTGCAGTTACAAAACATTATAAATATTACATGTACACTTTATAAAAAGAACAAAGATGTTGGCCTTAAGTTGAAATAGATTATTGAAGTTTTCATCTGTACTTATAAAGGTGCTAATTTTACTCCAGACAGTCAGCAAGTAATGGATATTTACCACATTGGGCATTCTGCCAGGTGATGGGGTAAGACAGGGGCATGAGAGAGGGTGAAGTAGGGTGACAGTCTAGTTAAGGAAGATGGACAGAAACACCCAGTAATGACTCATGGGTTTTGAAAACTATTTCATTCTAAGCACTTCACATACATTAGATCATTAAATCATCACCACAACCATAGAAAGTAGGGCACATTTTTATTTCCATTTTAAGACCAAAAAAATAAAAAAACAAAGAGGAGGGGATAACTTGGCCAAGGACATAAAGCTAGCCAGTGACAGCACTGAAATTTGAATTCTGACAATCTGCTCTGGAACTTATGAATGTAAACAAAATCTGCTTTATTACCTAGCACCATGCTCGGCACTGTGGGAGATACCCCTTCGGCAACCTGTTGATAGTTTGGGGAAAAGGGGCCCTGTATCAGTCAGCTATTACCATAATACTGCTGTATAACAAAACACCCAAAATATGTTGGCTTGAGATAATAGCATTCCTTAGTCCGCAAACCTACAGGTCAACTCTGTTGTTCTGTTAATCTTGGTAGGACTTGACCTTAAAATCCTTCTTGGAGCCAGTTGAAGTTCACCCACCTGTCTGGTGGTCGGCTGGCTGACCTAGGTTGGTTCTAGCTCTGTTCCACACATCTCATCCCCAGCTGGCCAGCAGGGTACATTCTCATGGTGATCAGAGAGGAAACAGAAAACACAAGCAGTTTCTCCAAGCTTGAAATCTCCTAAAATTCTACTGGGCAAAGTCAGTCACATAGCTAAGCCCAAAGTCAGAGTAAAAGGGGGCTTCAGAATTTTAGGACAGAGGACATAAATGTAGGGAGGCCATGAACTGGAGCCATCAACACAATCACTTTAGACAAGAGGCCCCTTTAAGGATGTTCCTATCCCCACCCCCAGTTCACAGTGACAGGGAATGAGTCCCAGGCCCTGGGCCTTATTTATTTATGCCACCCTTGTCAATTTAGGAAAGCCCCACTCTCCAGTGCCTAAAAATGAGGGTACCCCCAAACTTCTACTGTGAGAAAGCAAAATTTATTTAATTGAGTAAAAATGAAATATTACTATAGGGAATGTAAAAGGATGGACAACAGTTCAGAAACTAGTGTCAGGGAAGTTGCATTGATGGCTGTAAGAAGCAGACACTGTATCTAAAGCAGTGTAAGCAAAAGGGAAACTTTTGACACATGTTGCTCATGATCTGAGGGCAGCAGTAATGAGCACTCTTCCTCTTTCCAGCCCAAGTTGAAACCAATCAAGAGATGGATACACAAGTGGAGGAGGTGGGATAAAAGTATCACTTTCGGTGTCAGTAAAGACCTCTAGGAAATTTGGCGTTAGGTCCGATGGCCAAGAGAGCCTCATAAGGTTGTACTCCAGAACTGGACTTGCCACCTACTCATGGCTCTCTGACAGGGCCCATCCCTGAAAGGCTTAGAACATGGAACAGAGTGTGCTTTTTTAGCTAGATAGGTCCCAAAAAGAAAGGGAGAAACTAATCTGTACAGGCCATTTCTGTCCCCCAGCTTAAACGATTAGTTAAGTTCCCTCTCATCTCCTGGAGAGGAGTGAATGAGGTGAAGAATGACATACTAATGCCCTTCCATGAAGAAAGCAGTATCCAGAGCTGGTAATAAATATTCTCCCTAATCGTAACCAGTGAAAGGGCTGTTTCCTTCAGGTATGGTGAAATCCAGGAGCTAAATCCAAGTTATTAAGGTACTGCCTCTCTCTCAAGAAACCTTGGCATTCTTAGTATTTCATTGGCTTCATTCTTAGACAGTCTTTCTGTACTTGATATAAAGACAGCCCTGTGCAGCTCCAACCTGGTAAGACTATCTCAGAAGGAGAGACATTCTCTTTCACACAACATACATTTCAGTCTCTGAAGAAAGTAATTCTAATTCGTCCTTCCTGGGCCACAGCCATCCTTGAACCAATCACAGCAGTGGGAGTTAGAATTCCCAGATTGGTAAGTTACCATCCATTTTGGTGATTGGGAGATGGAGGGTTATGAGGTTTGATTGACATATCTACTGAGATTATTGGGAGCACAGGAGGATAGCTTCAAGAAAAAGATGCAGCAAGAGAAAACAAGTACAGGATGCCCATCACCATGCAAAAATGACCCTTTTATCCCATCTGGACACACCTTCCCTGGTAGCGCTCTGTCCACTGTCCCCCCCGGTCTGTGTTGGTCTTTGCTGTCAGAACAACAGTTGGGGATAGACTTGGTGGGGAGCTCAGACCACAGCCCCCAGATAAGCAATTCAGAGCAGTCTTGACGCGTCTCCTTTTTTGTTGCTTTGTGTATTGGAAGGAGTGTGTTTTTGTGAGATGTAGCATTTGGGAGCCAATTATTGGCTGGAACCCTGGCCTAAATGGGAAAGGAAGATTATCCATTTTTGGCCAGCATTGGAATGTCCATTGGCATTGTGATTGGAGGAAATTGGCTTCTTTTTTTTGTTTGTTTTGGTAGGGAAAGGTATGTGTATCATGATCAAGTCCTGCCCCTTATGATAAAAAAAAAAAACTCAAAATAATAGTGTCCTAAACAAAATAGATGTTTGTCTCTCTCATACATTTTTTAAAATGCTCAAAGTAGGTCATCTACGGCTTTTGTGGTTCTTCGTGGTATCAGAGACCTGGCTCTATTCATCTTTGACTGCCATCCTCAGAAGGTCATTTCAGGGCCCAAAGCAGCTGCCATCATGACTGCATTCCAGCCAGAAGGAGGAGGGTGAGAGGAAGGGATTGTTTTCTCTTCTACTCTAAGAATTCTCTTGGAAGGTTCACACACTTGTGCTCCTGTCTGCTTCATCAGAAGGGAATCCCATAGACTCTCCTGACTGCCAAGAGACTGGAAATGTAGTTCTTCAGTGAGCCACTGCTACAAGAGT